ATGAACGCACACGTGCCTGGCATGAGTTTAAGACACCAGGTCCAGGACTCGAACTGTGGTCGGCTACATGGGAGTTCAGCGACATAGCCATTACGCTAACTGCTGGTCTCCACAAAGTGGGATTTTACTAACAAATACCCAGAAATTAAGTAGTAGGCAGAGATTGAAAGAGTTTGGATGAACAATCTAGAAGCCTAGATTGTGGTAGAAGCTCTGAAGAAGTTTAAAAAGTAACTGTAACTGGGATCAGAAGACGGAGTAATGGTTACATCGCTGGACTCTTCCATGGCCAACTGTGGTTCAAGTCCTAGACCTACAGGCTTCAAACACACCAGGTGGGTGTGCATGTATGTATCCCCAAAATCCTGAGAGGGGAATGGAGGAGAAGGGATTGTGGTGTGGTCATACCCCCTGGGGGGTGATTTCTTGCTTTCTGTCTCTCTGTCTCTCTGGTAAGCACATGTGCCCTTTAGCAAAAATCTCTCTCAAAATAAATAAAAAAATAAATAACGACAACTTTTTAGAAATTGGTTAAATGGTAATGAGCAGAATATTAATACAAATATGGGGATTAAAGGCTGTTTCAGAGGGAAATGAGAAATATCTTACTGAAAACTGAAAAAAGGTCATCGTGTTATACCACTTCAAAGAATTTGGTTACATACCCTCAGGCTTTGTAGAATAAGGAATCTAGGGACCAGCAGTTAGCGTAATGGCTATGTTGCTGGACTCCCATGTAGCTGACCGTGGTTCAAGTCCTGAACCCAGCGGCTTAAACTCACGCCGGGCGCATGTGCGTGCGTGCCCAAGATCCCAAGAGGAGAATGGAGGAGAAGGGATTGTGGCGTGGCCATCTCCCCCGGGGGGTGATTTCTCGCTTTCTATCTCTCTGTCTCTCTCTGTCTTTCTGGCGAGCGCATGCGCCCTATAGTGAAAATCTTTCAAAAAACAAACAAACAAACAAAAAAAGGAATCTAACGGAGACCAGCAGGTGGTGTGGTGGTTAAGATGCTTCCACACGGCTGACCATGGTTTGAGTACCGGACCTGGTGGTTTGCTTTCTCACTCCTCCCCCTCCCCCGTGTGTGTCTCTCTCCGGCCAAATTAAAATAAATGAACGAATAAATAAAGTTAAATAATTATAATTCTTTTTAAAAAAAGAATAAGGAATCTAATAGCAATGCATATTTGGCAAATTAGATTTATCAGTAAGATATAGAAGGAGCTACATGTAATAAAGAGAAAAATAGAAAGAAACTACTTATGGATAAAACTTACAATGAAGAGGGAAGCAGTGTGGAACTATTTTTTAAATTTGCAGCCTGGCTATATGGTAAAGAATGAAGCATATTCAGCAGAGAAAAATGTGACTGAGCTACTGGTTGCTAAAGAGATTACCATTGACAGAACGAGATGATAAAAGTCAGGACAGAAAGGACCCAAGAGCATTTCAGAGATCTTTGAGACTGCCCTTCCCAGCACTGGCCTAAGGCCTAAGAAGAGCAGAATGGTTTTAGAAAACTGGCCCAGAGCAAATTCACTGTCCTGAACCACGTTGGGACTCAGCTCCTGCATCCCAATAAAGCATTACTCAACCCCAGGTAGAGCTCACCCCACCATTAACACTGTGTTTCACTCTCTGCTCTGGAACATGCCAAGTAGCAGATTCAGGTGATACACATGGGGAGGTAATTCTGTAGGCTTGCACAGTTCAATAGCTATATAAGTATAAAGGCTTCCACCTAGATTTCAAACAATATCTCAGACAATCTAGGTGTCTAGCAGAGACTTGCCATGCGGCAGAGCCACCATAGAAAGCCTCCATTAGAGCAAAGCCAAATAGAAATACGGGCTCAGGGATGCCACAGAAAATCCCTACTAGGGCAAAACCTATAGACCACATGACTGGGACTGCCCTGCATACAGCCCCACCCAAAAGCTGTAGGGCTTTATATATGCAGCACCAGTGTGCAAGAATTACAGACACAAGATGCCAACTGGAGAAAGCTAAAGCATGGACTGAGCCCAGCAAGCAAGGGAAGCAAGCCTGCCCAGCACCTTGGGGGCCCATCTTCCTCAGTGCATTCTGGAGTTCACGCGTGGGGTTTAAGACTGAATGTCTGCTGAGCTTTGGACCTGCTTGGGGCATGTTACTTCTTTCACCTAGTAGATTGGGAATTTCTACCCTGTTTGTTCCACCATTGTATTTTAAGAATATGTCATTTGTTTTTATTTTTACAGGCTCACAGGTGGAAGGCATTTGTTTTGAGTCTCAGATGAGACTTTGGGTTTCTGAGTTCATGGTAGACTAAGTTAAGTGCAGGGAGATAAGAGTGCAGAGGAGAAAGGGGCTCAGAGAGAGAACACGTTGGAGTTCGAGTCTGAGGCACTCACCATCTATGCTTTTCAGACTGGAGAAATCACAGAAGTGTTTTTGTCCCTACAGGAGTTTACACAAAATGCTACTCTGAGAAGGGATGGATATTAGTGCAATCTCATCTACTCCAAATTTGGGAATATTTATGTTATAGAAAACTGGACTACTCAGCAGGACCTCACATGCATGCCCTTGGGTCACATCCTCTAACTATCTGTCCTTTCCTGGCTCTCCTGTCACCCCTTTACCAGCTTTATCAGGGCCTTACCCACTGGGCTGGCAGAAGCTCCAGGCCAACAAAGCCCTGAGGTCACTTACCGGTTAGAAATTATCACTAGACTTGCAAAACCCAGTCAGTGCAATTTAATCTGGTAAACAGATTAAAGCAATTTGATAGCAGCAGAATTCAAAAGATATTCCTTAAACCCAAACTGGGCAAGTAACAACCTATTTTTGCCACATCTTAGTAAAAGAATGTATCTAGGGAACCAGCAGTTAGCGTAATGGCTATGTCGCTGGATTCCCACGTAGTCGACCGCGGTTTGCGTCCCGGACCCGGTGGCTTAAAACTCACGCCAGGCGCGTGTGCGTACGTGCCCAAGATCCCGAGAGGAGAATGGAGGAGAAGGGATTGCGGCGTGCCCATCCCCCCTGGGGGGTGATTTCTCGCTTTCTGTCTCTATGTCTCTCTGTCTGTCTGGCGAGCGCACGCGCCCTATAGCGAAAACCTCTCAAAAAAAAAAAAAAAGAATGTATCTAGCCAACAGTTCTTAACACTAACTTCTCAGGCTTTGGTATGACCCTCCTCAAAGTTGTTCACACTCTGACCCCTGGAACCTGTGAATATGCTACCTTATCTTGCAAAGAGAAATCAGGTTGCAGATAGAATTAAGGTTGCTAACCATCAGACTTTGAGATGAGGAAATTATCCTGGATTATCCAAAAGGACCCAATCTAATCCCATGGAATCTACAGTTAAGAGTATCTCTTGGCTTTGGTCAGAAAGAAAAGCGTGAAGAAGAATGTCCAGGGAGATGCAATCTTACTGGCTCGGAGGCGGAGGAAGAACATGAACCAAGGAAGGTGGACACCTCTAGAAGTTGGGAATAGCAGAGGAACAGATTCTCCAGAGCCTCCACAGGGAACACAGGCCTGCTGATACCTTGACTTTAGCTCAGTGAGACCCACGTCAGACTTGATAGTACATATGTGCTGTTTAAGCCACCTTGTTTACGGCAAACAAAGGAAACAAATACAGTGCTCCCTGAAACCTTCATGACCTGATGTAGCTGAGGATGACAGTAAGTACCTGTGTCTTTAGAGAGAGGTGGTGATACACATACCCTGAGCAACAGCTTTACCACCCACTATCCCCCCTGTGGGATGGTGCTGGTGCTTATGGCTGGGTTGTTGGGAGGGCAAAGGAGTCATCCTTGTAAAGCACATAGCACTACTCAGGGTGAGCATCAGAAATAGCAGGGCTAAATGCTTTACAAGGAGTTTAAGATCCTGAACCGCATGCATAGTGTATTTGTTGTCATCCTTGCCTACAACATAATCTCAATTTTAACATTTTTTTTTCCCTGAGAAGTGTGGGCATCTAAAACACAAATACCATTTCATATCAGCCTAAAATAGCATAAGTCCTCATGAGAGAACTTTAAAAAATTCAATATTGTGGGGGGACCAGCAGTTAACGTAATGACTATGTCACTGGACTCCCACGTAGTCGACCGCGGTTCTAGTCCTGGACTCACGCCGGGCACGTGTCTGTACGTGCGTGCCCAAGATCCTGAGAGAATGGAGGAGAAGGGACTGTGGCGTGGCCATCCTCCCTTGGGGGTGATTTCTCGCTCTCTGCCTCTCTGTCTGTCTGGAGAGCGCATGCACCCTATCGCAAAAACCTCTCCAGAAAAAAAAAAAAACTCTATTGTGGGGGCCAGCAGTTAGCGTAATGGCTATGTCGCTGGACTCCCACGTAGTTGACTACGGTTTGCATCCCAGACCCGGTGGCTTAAAACTCACGCCGGGCGCGTGTGCGTGCGTGCCTAAGATCCCAAGAGGAGAATGGAGGAGAAAGGATTGCGGCGTGACCATCCCCCCTGGGGGGTGATTTCTCGCTTTCTGTCTCTTTGTCTCCTTCTGTCTGTCTGGCGAGCGCATGCGCCCTTAGCAAAAACCGCTAAAAAAAAAAAAAGACCTCTATTGTGGTACATTTTGTAAAAAGATGTATATGGTACTAAAAAGAGGTAAAATAATATACAGGATTTCAGCACAAAAAGAAAAAGAGGCGGGCCAGCAGGTGGTGTGGTGGTTAAGACACTGGACTCCCATATGGCTGACTGTGGCTCAAGTCCTGGACCTGGTGGCTTGCTTTCTCATTTTCCCTCTTTCTCTATCTTTGTGTCTCTCTCAGGTGAACACACACGCCCAGTAGCATATTTTTAAAAATAATAATGACAAGTAAAATTAAATAATTCTTAAAAAAAAAAAAAAGGGAAAAGGGAAAAAAGAAATAGTTACAAGTAGGGTGGGATAGGGGTAGGGTACAAAAATGCAAATGTGGGAAATCTTGGCCCTGAGTCTGGGTGATGGAGGCCAGACACCCTCGACTGTTTTATGTTTGATAATCTTTGTTAACTCAACCAATCAACCAAAACTCTACAAATAACGAACCAAATCAGAAACACACAGAGCCTGCACATTCACCTAAACACCGTCTGACCCAGAGCATCCACATCCCTTCTCCCTGCTGTCGTGGGCAGGCCTTAGAGGCAGTCGTATCCAGAGGTGCTGTGTGTGCTCAGATGCAGGAGATCTGGGCAGCCCTGGGTGCTGCTTACACTCAGGAACAAATGGGAAACGCAAGGCTCTTGTGCTGGTCTGCCTGGAAGCCTTCATCAGGCCAGCCAGGAACCTTCTCTACGGATCCCAAACTAGCCAAACCTTCTGAAGCAAAAGCTGTTGCCCGCCTGTGACAGGCACTGTGGTTAACCCAGGTATCTCAATCTTATTTATTCTTTCACCAGCTTCCCTGTGTGGGATTTTTCATGTGGATTTTTTTTTCTTTTTTTTTTTTTGGAGAGGTTTTCACTATAAGGCGTGTGCACTCACCAGACAGACAGAGAGAGACATAGAGACAGAAAGTGAGAAATCATCCCCCAGGGGGGATGGTCACGCCACAATCCCTTCTCCTCCATTCTCCTCTTGGGATCTTGGGCACACACGCACACACGCCCGGCGTGAGTTTTAAGCCACCAGATCCGGGACACTAACCGCGGTCGACTACGTAGGAGTCCAGCGACATAGCCATTACACTAACTGCTGGTTCCCTTATGTGGATTTTTGATTGGAACTAAGGCAGAGAAGCAGGCCCACACAGATAGAGACCAACTTTAAACCCTATCTCTAAAGCTTGGTAATACCAAGAAGAAATTCTTTGTTCCAGTTTTCTAAAGATGCATGCATTTAAAGGCAAAAATTTACACATGAGGTTCCAACTAAAATGCTATTTAAAAATAGTAAGAACTGGGGCCATCAGATGGAGTGGCAGTTACATCGCTGAACTCCCAGATAGCCGACCATGGTTCAAGTCCTGGACCCCATGCCTTGAAAATTATGTCAGGAACATATGTGTGGGTGTGTGCCCAAGATTCCAGGAGGAGAATGAAGGGAAAGGGATTGTGGTGTGGCCATCCCAGGGGGGCAGGGGGTGTTCCTCACTTTCCCTCTCACTCTCTCTCTTATACCCTGGCAACCACATGCACCCTAAGGCAAAAACTTAAAAAATATATTATGAACTAAATTCAGTGTGCCGCATAAGCAAGTCTTAATGGCAACTCTGAAGGCAGAACAGGGACCTCTCAGGAGCTCCACACTGCTAAGGCCCAAATGAACACACTGATAATCCTCACACACACCTGTGTGTCCTGAAAAGAAAACAGATTTTGCCTTGAGGGGAATGTCTGTGTTTGTTATGAAAAAATGAAAAGAGAGCTCAAAGTGGATTGGTTTATGTCAATCTGTCTTCGGCAGAGACAGGCTGTCTAAAGACTGAATTCTTTAGTGGGCTAATCGTGGCCACAAAAAGGAAAAATAAAAGCACCTATCTCCATTATATTATTATACATTACATGCTTTTCCATAGTGAGATCAGAATAGCTCTTGTGTTCAGTAAAAAGCCGTATGGATCATGGTTAGAAAAGTTTTTGTTTTGTTTAAAGGTGAACTCTGGTGAATTCTGGTTAAGACAGGAAGAATCACTCATCTTTCATCATTTCTTAATAGCCTGTTGTCTTCCCTGTTACATTCCAGATAGCTCTAAGGGGAACAAAACAACACAGGACATATTTTTATGGTCTGAGAATGTGAAAGAAAGAAACTGTGTTCTCATAATCTTCAAATCTTTTCACCTAGTATTTTTGTGATGTATGATTCTGAGACCACACTGACAGGTCAGCAGCACTGAAGTTGGAAAGAAAATGCACTGAGATACACAAGCACGCAGAATGCTATCATCCAAGAAAAGGTTCCTGAGATTGCTAAATAGTTGTTAGTGCAATATCGTCTGATAAGCCTCAATTTCACAGAAAAACAACTCTACAGTTTCAAAACACAGAAGTGGAACCTCTGGTCTGAATAAGGCATACTGTAATGGATTTTTTTTTTTTTTTTGGTCAGAGAAGTGGGAGATGGAAATCTTAACTGTTAGCCTGTACTTGCCTTTCCATTCTGCACTCTAAATATTCTTTTGATTCATTTCTGCACAAAGAATTTTCAAAATTATTGTCACGGAGACACTTCATGAACTTCTCTTTGAAGCTTTTACATTCACCTAAAATGAAAAAGAAACAGTATCTTCTTTTGAAAGTGAAAAAAATGACACAGCAACCTATGAGCAACTACTTTTCCTTTTAAAATTTATTTCCTTCATAATCATGCTAAAAACTATGCTGGGGGAGAAAAAAACCTACAATGATGTAAAGCAAATCCAATGAATGTTAAGGGCAGGGTCTAGATGGTGGACTGAGAGGAACTTACAGTAAAAATTCCTTCAATCTTGCTGTGTGCTTGAAAATTTCATATTAAAATATTGGGAAAGAAAAATTAATCTATTGTATTTTCAAAGCCTTAATTTCCACAGAGGCCCACCTACATGTTTACCCCCAAACTTGAATTCAGGCCATAAACGTGATAAGATCAGCAGCATCTTTTGATTTTGCCAAGCACACCAATAATGAATAATTTAAGCCCCCACCATAACAAACTGTAAAATTCTTAAGTGTCAAAACTATGTATTGCCAGGAACCACCAGTTAGCCTAATGGCTATGTCGCTGAACTCCCACGTAGTCAACCACTAGACCCGGTGGCTTTAAACTCACGTGGGGCGCGTGAGCGTGCGTGCCCAAGATTCAGAGAGGAGAATGGAGGAGAAGGGATTGCGGCGTGACCATCCCCCCCGGGGGGTGATTTCTCGCTTTCTGTCTCTCTGTCTCTCTCTGTCTGGTGAGCGCACGCGCCCTATAGCAAAAACCTCTCAAAAAAAAACCAAAAAACCAAAAAAACTATGTATTGCCAGAGACCAGCCAGAGACCAGCAGTTGGTGTAATGTCGCTGGACTTCCACGTGGTTGACTACAGTTCGAGTCCGGACCTGATGGCTTAAACTTAGGCCAGGCGTGTGTGTGTGTGTGTGTGTGTGTGTGTGTGTGTGTGTGTGTGTGCGCGCGCGCGCGCCCAAGATCCCAAGAGGAGAATGGAAGGGAAGGGACTGCGGCGTGGGAACCCCCTCCCCTTCAGGGGTGATTTCTTGCTTTCTGTCTCTCTCTTTGTGGAGAGCGCACGTGCCCTATATCAAAAACCTCTCCTCCCCAAAACAAACAAAAACAAAACAAAACAAAAAAACTACGTATTGCCTAATACTTCGCTAAAGAAATGAAGCATTAGCTGCTGCCTAACGAGACCAACTTCCTCAGTCTGCGCCAGGCCGGTGTCCCACAAGGGTAATCCCGGGTGGGTGCGAGGAATGGCATTCACCACCCTTGTCACCCTTGCCAGCTCCCACTTGGGGAGTCCACGCCGCGAGTGACCTGGGGAGGGCTGGGGGCCCGCCAAGCGTGCTTCCCCACCTGTGCCGGGGTGCGGGGTGCACTTCCTGTGACCAGTTAGCAGCACCGCGACCGCCGCTCACTCAGGGCCCCAAACGGACCCCGACTCTGACGTCCCCCACCCCCAGACTCGGAGACCTGCCCCCGAGACCTGCACACCGACCCCACTCCGAGACTCCGTACCCCGCGTGCCTAGACCCCGTGCGCGACCTCCCGCCGCTCACCGAAGTGGTCCAGCGGGAAGCTGCCCTTGTCCGGGGGCCGCGGCTGGAAGCTCTTGGTCCCGAAGTTCATCGCAGTCGACATGACGCCGGCTTGGGCGATCGCAAACCGGCATGCGCAGGGCGGCCGGCCGAGCGCCGAGCAGGCCCCGCAGGAGCTCCGAGCTCGTCGAGCTGAAGCCCCGCCCCGGTCTGCCCTGACTAAGAAAGCTGCGGACCTTCTGTCGGGCTCGCTACCCAGCGCTTTCCTGCCTTGCCTTTTCCGTTTGACTCTCACAGCATCTCCCCCGGCAGGAGCCCCAGCCATCCTCTCCCGGTCCCGGTATGGGTGAGGATCCAAGCTCAGAGAGGTTAAGTCAAGTGCCCAGTGACACGCAGCTGTGCCCTGGTGTCTCTGCATCCCAAGTGTCTGTCAGGGGCTCGGTTTCCCAATTAGCAAAGAGGTCGTAATCATGGCCTTACCTGGAGAGAAATGCATCAAAGGCAGGAGTGTGTATTAGCCTCCCGTGGCTGTCCTGTCAAAGTACCCAAACTGCCCCTTCCAACAACAGAATGTACCTGCTGGAGACCACCCTGTGTGATGATGCCCCAGATGTGCTGGAAAACAACTTGAGTGACTGGAACACTGGGTTCTCAAGCATAGGAGACTGCACTGTCTCCTGTAACCCGTTTCCCAGGGAAGCGAACCAAGAACCACTGGGTTCATATGTTCTGTGTCTTACGCAGTTAATAGCTCTTACGGGCTATACTTCGTGTTTTCTAGCAAATCTTTAAATTCCTTCTTAAAGAAGTTCTTGCTTTGGGAAAATTCTGCTGTTTGTATGCTTATCCATTCCTGTCTACTGTACATTTATAGAATGTTCCATCATAAATATGTACGGTAAAGTTTACTGGAGAAAAAAGGTCACTTATTTAAAGTACTACATCGTGTATAGTCTGATCTTCCACACAATACACAGAGAGCATAAGAGACGGCTATAACCCAGCTCTCTCGGATCCCAAGCTCCCCACTCTACTAAATGTACCTAGACTAAGAATCTTTCAAAATGTGCGCACCCTTCTGCATCTCTGAGTCTGCAACAGGTGGCACCCGAATGGGGACCTGAAGACACAGTAATCGTGAGTCATGGTTGCACACGCCCCATCAACTGAGTCACGACACTTGACGTGAGGATTTGCTTTAAAGGTTGGGTGACAATGGGGCAGAATTTGTCTGGTTTAACTCATTATGCTACTTTATTGAAATATCTGCTGATGCAAGCAGGGGCTTCTATGGGGACAGAACAGATTAATGAATGATTAGAATGGATTTTAAAATTCTGTCCCTGGTTCCCTGAGGAAGGCATCCTCAGTGTGGAAACTTGGGAACGTATTGGTAAATACTGCAAAAGGAACATGGGCGATGCTCTTGTATTCCTGTAAATGTATTTTCCATGTGGACATTGATAAAGACAGTCTTAGAGCACTTCAGGGAACAAAAGCAAACTTGCAGCATAAATAAATAAAAGACTTCTATGCCTGCAACACCCCCTCCTTCAGCCCTTGGGCCAGCTCCTCCCAGTCAATTGAGTGAAAAGACTCCCTTTAAAAATCAAAATCCTCCAACATCCATCTTTCTAGTTCAAATTAACCTCCAGAAGACTCTAGCCAAATATCAAGAACATTCTTATTCAGTAGAACTGGATGATTTAATATTGTTTCCAACAAGACTCACAAGGGAATTTGCAGAGAGTTCATCAAGGGTTTGACATGACAACATTACATGGGCTTTGGGATAGTTTAAGAGAAAATGGAATTCAGCTCCATTTACTATGACCATTCTAGAAGCCCTGAGTAAGACTACCCTCTTGGGACTGGCATCTAATCTGAAAAGCAGCTCTTACTGAAGGGTCTATATTAGCAATAGAAGGCAGCCTTTAGGGGTTTCCCACAAGAAAATGGCTAGACTTAATAAAAATGCTAATATTCCAATTACTTTTGAAATGTTAACAGGCTCAGGACCATTGTCAGATTTAAATACTCTTTTAAGGGCTGTCAGGTGCATGGTTGTTAAGGTGTTGGACTCCTGCTGTAGGCCAACCACAGTTTGAGTCCTGGGCCTGGTGGCTTGCTTTCTCACTTTCTCGCTTTCTCTCTCTGTCTCTCTAGTCAAATAAAAAAAAATACATAAAATTGAATAAATAATTATTAATAAATAAATAAATAAACAAATGCTCAGCTTACCTTTGATCCTCAGGCATATTTACAAATTTTGCTTTGTGCTTGGTGGACATGACAAACTCTGCCTGAACCAGGTTAACCCAATAAGTCCTTCCTAAAATGTTTATAAGGACCTTCAGAATCATATGCTGATTTTCTAGATCTATTGTCTAAGGCTGGTCCAAAGGTAGTGAACTATCTCAATTGAGTATTCAGAGTCAGTTACACGTCTAACTCCTTGTTCTACTAGATGTCAAAAAATTACCTGTATGTATTTTTTTTAACATCACTGACAATTAATGACAAAATTAACACGTACATACTCCAAATCCAAGACAAACTCAGTAAAGGTCATGTCCTTCTCTCATGAAATTGGAAGTAGTCAAACTGGCCTTTGGCCCTTTTGAGACTTCCAATAATTTTGCTTGTTTGCCTTTTTGGACCTTACATATTGAATCTGTTAACAAATTGATTTCTTCTTGCCTAGATGCTCTCAGACTTGAAGCTATCTCTTCAAGTTTTTTCAGCTGTATCTGCTGTGAACTTCTTTCGGGGACCCGTAGATAGACCTCTGGTGGAAGCTCCCTGACTGCCATCCCTGTCAGCATCCCAATCTCAGCATGAAGCAACCAGAGCAGACTTCGCCCCTTTTCCCCCTAATGGCAGTTAGGGGTACTTTTTCAAAGGGGGGAATGAGGTGGGAGTTGGAACCTACTTGTGGGTAAATGGAGTAGGGGCCCTGAATGAGAGTCACTGTGTTTTTCTTTTTGATGAGGCCTCTGTGTTTTTCCTCTACGGTCTGGTTGATGTACAACATATATCCCTTTTACATGTCTCTAAAGAATTGATGATTCCTTGCCAATAAGGCAAAACATAAGGATGTTGGACACACAGACAGGATAAGGTCAAGATGGAGTCACAGTGGTTAAGTTTTCACAGCCAAAGCTGGCTGCATAGGGATTCACAGCTGTAGCCAAGAGCAATGGTTTCTATTTAGCAACTGTATTTTTTAATAATATTTTTTAAAAGGATTATTTTACTTAAATTCATTTATTTATTTTAATTTGACCAGACAGAGACAGAAGGCAGTGGGGAGAGAGAGAGAAAGTGAGAAAGTAAGCTGTCAGGTCTGGGACTCGAACCACAGTCAGCCTTGTGGGAGTCCAGCACTTTTAACCACCATGCCACCTGCCGTCTCCTCCTTTTTTGAGAGAGATTTTTGCTGTAGGGTTAATGTGCTCACCAGAGAGACAGAGAGTGAGAAATCAACCCCCCAGGGAGATGGCCAATTACTTGGTGCTGTAATTTTATTAGTAATTCTCTGCATTTTGTGTCACATGGTCTCTCAAATCGAAATGAAAACATTTTCTCAACAAAAACATCTATTTGTCATGCTGACTTTGGAGCAAAAACAGAACGGGGGGCATGTTGGAGATCACCTGTGGGACAATGGCCCAGATCTGCTGGAACACAACCGGAGTGACCTGGCACACTGGGTCCTCAAGCTGCGTGTTGGGCTAATTCCTTCTGAGGGCTCTCAGGAGAATCTGTCCTAGACCTCTGTCCTAGCTTCTGGGGTGCTCCCTCAGCCCCTGGCTCATTCGCTTTGTAGAAGCACCACCACGTCTCCCTACCTCTGTGAACGTGTGTCTCTACGTCCAAATTTCCATTGTATAGTCCAGGTTAGGGCCATCCTAATGATTTCACTGTAATGAATTACATCTGTGAGGCCCAATTTCTTTCCTTTCTCTTTTTGTTTTTGTGTTTTGCTATACAGCAAAAGCATTTGCCAGAGACAGACAGACAGAGGGGGAAAGTGAGAAAGCACCCCCCTCTCGGGGGATGGCCACTATACAATCCCTTCTCTCCCATTCTTCTCCCAGGATTTCTCTCTCTCACATACACACACACCTACCCTGCATGTGTTTCAAACTGCTGCATCCAGGACTCGAACCGCACAGTCGGCCATTTGGAATCCAGCCACTATGACCACTACGGTGGGCCCACTTTTATTTTTAATGGCCAGAGGGCCTGTGCTCTTGTCAGAGAGAGACGGAGAGACAGAGAGAGAAAGCACCCCAGCAGGGCATGGTCATACCGCAGTCCCGTCTCTATTTCTCCATTCTGAGATTTTAGGCACGTCTCCTGACATACCAGTGGCACGCTTTCCCCACTGGGGCAGGGTTTCAACTACCGTTGGCTGTGTGGGATCTGGCTTCCTTAACCACTAGGCTACAGGGCTGGCCCACAGTGACCCTATTTCTTTAAAAAAGTTCCTATTTTGGGGCCAGTAAGTGGTGTGGTAGTTGAGGTGCTGGACTCCCACATGGTCAGCCATGGTTCAAGTCCCAGACGTGACAGCTTGCTTTCTCACTTTTGCTCTCTCTCTGCTTCTCTCTGATGAACTGAAAATAATAATAATAAATAAATAAATAAGTAAAATTAAAGAATTCTTTTTCTTTTTTTTTGAGAGGTTTTTGCTATAGGGCACACGCCAGAAAGACAGAGAGAGACAGAGAAACAGAAAATGAGAAATCACCCCCCAGGGGTGTTGCCCACGCCACAATCCCTTCTCCTCCATTCTCCTCTCGGGATCTTGGGCACGCACACACACGCGCCCAGCATGAGTTTAAGCCACCAAGTCCGGGACTCTTAACTGCGGTCGACTAAATGGGAGTCCAGCGACAGCCATTACGCCAACTGCTGGTCCCAAAATTAAATAATTCTTTTTAAATGTTCCTATTTTAAGATATTAGGGGTTAGGACTTCACCATATGAGTTCTCGGGTGCTACAAATAAAAAGTGTAATATACATTAGAGCCCCTGGCATTTGCTTATTATTATCACGATCACTATGGCAACAATAACAACAGTGAGAAAGAGCTTCGTGGAGACTCCAACTCTGCCTGGGAGAGTTTCTTCCCAGCCCTGGACCTGGAGACCAGCTTCCCACTCTGGGCACATCCCGTTTCCAGGAGGATGATGGAGGATGTAGATCACCAGCCCCTCCACGTCACTGTGGGGGGGCGTTTGTTTGTTTAATGAGAAAGAGACAGGGAGAGACAGAGACGTTTTTGACAGGGTCTTGCTATGTCACAATTCTCCTTGCCCTAGCCTCCCACTCGGCTTGGGTTACCGGACACCACGGCACCTGGCCTGAGTTCAGGAACTGAACTGGGCCTCCTGTGTGGCCCCAGCTTCATTCAGCAGTGCCCTCCCACTTGCACCACCGTGGCTGGGCTGCGCAGCACCGTTTTGGGGTCCTGCTGTGACCTCCAACCTCCACCCAACATTTAACAATACTGGGCACCAGTAGGGCACCAGTCATAGGTAGGGCCCTGGCAGTGATCTGATCTGGTCTCCAGCAACTCCAAGCTCTGCAGCTGCCACCCTGGGATGAACTTTCCTCCCCTCCCAGGCCTAACGTGACCCTACCCCACTGTTGCCTGCCCCTCTGCAGTGCAGACGGTTGGATTCCCATGCCCAAGGCTGGATTCGGGTCTGTGCGCCCTGAACCAGCACGAGATTGGCACTGTTTGTGGGCTGTCCAGCAGAGGGGACCTCATCACCAGGCCCGAAGGCTGCCGGGAAGCCCGTTCCAGTTGTCAGGGCCTTTGGACTCTGGGTCCACTTAAAACTACAAAAGGAAAATTGCACCTTGTTCTTGTCATATAAACAACTGCTTTACAATATGAACCAGAGGCCCACGTACTGGCTTATTCATTAATGTTTCCAGGGCTATGAACAATAGAAGCTTTTATAACCCAGCAAATAGCACTTTTCCACTTGACTAGACCATACCACTTAGCAATAAAAGGACAGCCGCTTCCTGAGGTTGCCTACATCCTCTCTGTCTGGCAACCCTGAGGGACCAGAGAAGTAGAGGCCCAGTGACCTGGAGGTAACAGCTTGTAATTGACTGTCACCTGCAAATGATGATTGCTTTATATGAGATCTCTAGCTACAAGAGAACAGGAAGGAATTTTTATTTGTAGTTCATAGATATGAAAAGCAGAGGACGGAGCTAACCTTTCCTGACCCCCTCTTTTGTGCTGGGCATTTTTCCCAGGGGTTGCCCAGGACTGAGAGCAGTGCCCATTGGCATGTTGTAGGTCCTGGGTTAGTAGATTTAGAAAGCATGAACCCTGTTAGATAGGTACTGCTGTTTTCATCTCACACAGGGAGGGAGGTAGGGTTACATAGCCCAGGCGTGAGTTACTGTTGCTGGGTAGCAGGGTACTGCACACGCAATGTTGTAACACGGCAGTCGCCCACTTTGCTCATGGACCTGCAGTTTAGGCAGGTGCAGGGGAGACTGCCCGCGAGGCGGCGGCTGCAGCTACTCACCATGGGCTGGGGATCCACTTACAATGGTGCACGCGAGGCCAGCAAGTGGCAGAGACTGTGGGCTGTAAGCTTGGCTGGTTCTGTTGGCCTTAGCGCCTCTCCATGTAGGCCTTGCTTCAGGCCCTTTGGGCTTCCCCACAGCACAGAGGCTGGGTCCTGAGAGCAAGTGTCCCAGAGACGCAGGTGGACGCCCCACCACATTTTGTGATTTAGCCTCAGACGTCACATCGTGTTGCTTCCACCACAGTCACAAGCACCCACCCATATTCAAGGGCAGGGAACGCAGACACTCCTCCCAATGGGAGAAGGGCATGCCTGCGTCATCCAAAGGGCATGTGACTAGCAGGATCTCTTGTGTCCATCACTGGAAGCTGCTTTTTTCTTTTAAATAATTATTTTATTTAACTTTATTTATTATTATTATCATTATTATTTTCCAGTTTGATCAGAGAGAGAGAGAGAGGAAGTGAGAAAGCAAGCCACCAGGTCTGAGACTTGAACCGTGGTCAGCCACGTGGGAGCCCAGCACCTTTAACCACCATGCCACTTGCAAGCCCCTCTGGAAGCTGCTTTTTTTTGTTTTTGTTTTTGTTTTCGTTTTTGTTTTTTTGGAAGCTGCTTTCTACTACAGCCCACAAGCAGAGTAGCTGAGTTTGGAACCAGGTCTGACTGACTTCACACCCCTCCCAGGGAACCTACACCGCCCTACTTCTGGTGGCAGGGCTAGGTGTGACCTGAACCATCCTGTCAGAACACTGCATCCCTGCTAGCCACAGGATCAAATCCAGGGCTAACCAACTGATCCTAACCAACAGGATCTAATCAGAACAACCCAGGATGGGGACAGCAGGCACCACATCTTTGGTGGGAGCCACTGGGAATGGTCACTGGAATTTAAAAAGTAACAACCCCTTTTCTCAGTAATCCCATCTAGGGATTTATTTTATGGCATTCTTTGCAACGGCATGCATTGGTGTATTTAGCAGACTGTCCTGGGGCAGTCTCAGGTTGAAACAATGAAAGTGCCCATGCTTGGTCGTGCCATAAGACTAAGTGATCCCAGATATGGGAGGGAGGGAATAGGGCACCAGGGAGCTTTAGGGACAATGGGATGTTCACAACCTTGCTTGTGGCAAAGGTTCCTTGGGTGTGTTCATATGCCCAAACTCATCAAACTGTATGCTTGAGGGCTGGCGCTGTGGCCTAGTGGTTAAGAGCTGAATCCCATATGGCTGATAAAATGATCCTGACCCTGGCTTCTGGTCTCCAAGGTGTCCCTGCTGTGCCCAGAGGCAATTTTGGTGGCAAACTCTCTGCCACATTGGCCTCCCCCATGCAGCTGGAAGGGCAGGGCTCTTAGGATCCTACTCCATAATTCCTATAGCTTGAGCTTTTGGCAGGGTCTGGCACACACAGGCATTCAAGAAATGCTCCCTGACCCAGCCTTGTAGCACAGCAGTTAAACCCTGTGCCCAGGCAACTGGATCCCATACGCTCAACTGCAGTTCGAATCCCTGTCCCAGCAGCTTGAAAAACATGTTAGGCACATGTGCATGAGTGCCCCAAATCCTGACGGGATGCAGAAATGAAGGAAAAAGGATGAGAGCGTGACCATGCCCCACTGAGGGAGGGGTCTCTCTCCCTCTCTCTTTGGAAAGTGCATACACCCTCTGGGGGAAAAAAAGGGGGACCTGGCAGCTTGAAACTAACACTGTGTGTGTGTGTGTGTGTGTGTGCGCTCAAAATCTTGAGGGGAAGGACCAGCAGTTAGCGTAATGGCTATGTCGCTGGACTCTCATGTAGTCGACTACAGTTTGAGTCCTGGACCCGGTGACTTAAACTCACGCTGAGCACGTGTGTGTGCGTGCCCAAGATCCCGAGAGGAGAATGGAGGAGAATGGATTGCGGCGTGGCCATCCCCCCGGGGGGTGATTTCTCGCTTTCTGTCTCTATGTCTCTCTCTCTCTGTCTGGCGAGCGCACGCGCCCTATAGCAAAACCCTCTCCAAAAAACAAAAAAACAAAATCTTGAGAGGAGAATGGCGAAGGGATTGCAGTGTGACCACTCCCTCTGGGGGATGATTTCTGGCTTTCTGTCTCTGTCTCCACAGTGAGCGCATGCTCCCAATAGCAAAAATCTCTCTCTAAATAAATAAATAAATAAATAGATAGATAGATAGATAGATAGATAAATAAATAAATGTAGGTGCTCCCTGAATTAACATCATTAATTTTGTTAGGCTGGCAGTATCCCAAGCCTGGTACCAAGCACTTGGCACAAATGACACAGAAATCCAGCAGGTTAAAGAGCCGCCCTCCACCTGCAGCTGCCCTAGCCTCATGGCTGTACCGTGGGACAGAGGTAGTGAGCTCCCCATTGTAGAAGGGGTGCAACTGAGCCAGGGGCTTAACTTTCATAGCTAGACAAAAGGGATACGATCTGGGAGGGGTGAGGGCCTTAGGCTGCCTTGGCTCTGTGGTTTTGGAGAGCATGACAACACCCCAGGAGACAGGCTCTGTGGTGAGGGGCCCAGTGGAGGTGACAAGGCTCTACCTACCTCATGTTAGGGCAGGTGGCCTGAAGCAGGCCCAGCCGCTTCTGGTGCCAACAGCCCACCCGCCCCTCACACCTCATTTCCAAAGTAGCTGCGTCTTCTTCCCTAGCCTAGTCACCAGGGCTTAGGAGACAGGAGCAGAGAACAGACAGATGGTGGGGTGGGGGGAGGAGGTCTCGTAAACCTGGCCACCAGCCACCAAATGGGCCCCGCCCCCATTCCAGGCTGCTGCCAGCAGAGAGGGCCCCTCAGAGCAGCCATTACCACCCTCCCCGCCGGAGCCCAGCTTAGGCAGCTGGGCCTCCTATCCCAGGGGGCAGGCTTCCAAAGCTACCAAGGAGCAGGCTGCAGCTTGGGTGAGCTCACTGTCCAGAGACAGGCAGGGGGTTGCCTCCTGGGTGTCCACTCCAGTCAACTGCCCCACTGGGCACTAATTAGAGATGGTAGAGATGGACACAGATGACTTTTGGGAGAGGCCCATGAAGCTCCAGCCCCCAGGGTTTCAGGGCCTAGGGAAGGTAGGGGGGCTCTTCCTCTTTAAAGTCAGGCCATGGGCCCCCAAGCCCTGTGAGCTTCAGTTCTGATGAGATGACCAGGGCAGAGGAACTTGGACTGCTGGCCCCAACAGTTGGGGATGGAACAGTCAGTGTGTCCCGTCCTCCCTGGACTCTCCAGCAAATTGAGTGGGTATACATGCTCCAGCATGGGGCCTGGACACCTGACCCCAGACAGCCCAGCACCCTCCCTCACACCCCCATCCACCCTGGCACACTGCCCCCTCCCCTCGGCCCATCCCTGCCTGCTCCTGGGCCCCTGCCACATTCCTCCAGGCCTATAGCTGCAAACTGCTCTTTCCACATTCTCAGGGGGTGGGGTGGGGGCTCTGGAGCTGGCACGCCCTCCCAGAGAGGCCTATAAGGCCCAGGGTGGAGGGCAGCTGGGTGGGAAGAATCCCGGATGGAGCTCACAGCCCTGCTGCTGCTGGGGCTACTGCTGCTCCTGGGGCTCTGGGGGCTGCTCCGAGCTTGGCCCCAGGCCCCCTCGCTGGCCCCGCGGTGGCCACCTGGGCCTCGCCCGCTGCCGCTCCTGGGGAACCTGAACTTGTTGTTTGTGTCGAGACAGGACAAGACGCTGATGGAGGTGGGTCAGGGTAGAAAGTCCTCAGTTCAGGGGAAGCCGAGCCCATGTCCACTATCTGCTCCTGAGTGGTGCCGGGCCCAGCAGGGGACAAAGGAGGCCCTGGCATCCATTCTGACTAAGGGAAGAGAAAGACACCCCATCCCACAGGGAAGCAGATGCCTTCAGTCAGAGGCAGCCCTGAAAGTACTGGAGAGAAGATGGGTGGACAGAAACGGCATTTTGAGAAGCCCACAAACCTCCAGCCTCTCAGGAGTCCCATTGAGGGATATTCAGAGCCTGGGCGGTGGGGGACTCTGAGCAGCATGCCTGAGGGGTCCCTGGAGGGGGCAGCGTTTGCTGAGAGCCAGCAGAGGGGAGGAGGGCAGTGTCCTTGCAGGTGATCTGGAAAGAAGAAACGGGACCCGTGCTCCTGGGACAGGTAGGTCCTGCTGGATGTGACTTCTCCTCGCCTGGGCTGGAGCCAGGGTGGCCTTTGGCCCCATGCTGACATTAGGCTGCTGGTCCTGTAGCCAGGCGGTGGCTGGCCCTGAGGTGGCGGTAGTGGGGACCACAGTGAAGCAAAGCTACACCATGGCCCAGCCCGTGAGGGCCAACCAGCCCTGTTCCCTGCTTCGACCAGCACTCTGCTGGCTCCATCCCAAGCGGTGACTCCACTTGGCTTCTGGGGCTCTTGACAGAGACCCGGTGAACCCTCCCCAGCTGCAGTGTCAGGACTTTTTCACCCACGAGACTCCTCTTCCCAGAACTGCAGATACGGCTGCCTGGAGGTGCCCCTAGGCCCTGCAGGGGGTGGGGAAGAGGGGGTTGCTCCCTCACCAGAGCTGCCAAGTGCCCTCGGCTGAAGACGCCATGCCCCATGTTCCCTAGCATGGGATGTGCTGGCCTCTGCCTAGCTGCAGGCCCCAGGCTCAGGAGGCCAAGCATGCTGGGGTGGGGGAGAGGGAAGCGGGCAGCAGACAGGCAGCAGGCCAAGTTCGAGTCCCAGCTCTGTTGCTCAGTATACATGGAACCAATGGCAACTGATTTCCAGGCTGTTTCCTCTTCTGTAAAATAGGGAGATGACGGCCTTCCCCTCCTGGGGCAGAGGTGCTGTGAGGACAGAGGGCAGCCCTGACATGGCGTTATTGTTCTGTGTCCTCCCTCGGGTCAGGAAAGGGGAGACTGAACTGCCTAGCAGGGGCGTGGGGCACCGTTCTGTCTGTCTGTCCTCTGCTGCAGGGAGGGGTGCTGCTGACCACGGTGAGACCCAAGGGCAGGCCTGGTCTCCGTGCAGACCCCTGGCCAAACAGAACATGCCACCCCAGCAGACAGCCCGTCCTACACCTGCTGCCTAATCTCAGGGCTCAAAAGAGCCTTCTGAGACCTTCTGCAGAAAGATCCACCACAGCCATACCCAGCACCAAATACAACGCTCCCTTCCTGGAAGAGATGGGGTGCAGGCTCTGTGGGTTCCAGGCTGGACACTGACCCTCTGTCTAGCCAGCACCCCTCCAGCTTTGTGGTGTCTTGGCCTCTGTGGCGCTGCCCCCTTTCCCTGCCCGTTTCCCTCCCCTCTTCCAGCCTGCCCAAGGCCTGCTTGGTGGGGGCCGCCTCTCTGACCCCTGCCTATCCCTGCCAGCTCTCAGAGAGGTATGGACCAGTGTTCACCGTCCACCTGGGATGCCAGAAGTTGGTGGTGCTGACCGGCTACAAGGCCGTGAAGGAGGCGCTGCTGGGCATGGGGCACAAGCTGGACGACCGGCCTCCCATTCCCATCTTCGAGCTCATCCAGGGAGGCTGGGGTAGGTGTGCAGTGGGGATGGGCGGGTATGCTCCTGCCAGGTGGGGAAGTTCAGCCACCAGCTCTGTTCCTGGGGAGCTGGGGCTTGAGGAAAAGGACCCCCAGTGTGGGTAGGGCCAGGCCAGAGGGGCCAGGGCCTCCTGGGCTGACTCTAGGAAGGGTCAGGGTGTGCATATGGCAGCAGGGAGCCCCAGGGCAAGCGAGTCATGGTCTTCCCATCAGAAGCCAAGAGGAAATGGGGTTGGCCAAGAACAGCCCAGGAGAACAGGAGTGGGCTCAGGTACTTGCTCCTGGCCAGCCTTGCAGTGGCTCTGTTCAGGGTGAGGACCTGGCTCACCTGCCTGTTTGGCATACAGGTATCTTCTTCTCATCTGGGGTGCGCTGGCGGCCTCTCCGTCAGTTCACAATGCGTACCCTGCATGTTCTCCAAGAGGGACGGGGACCTGTGGCCCACACCGTGCTGCAGGAGCTGACGTACCTCACAGGGCAGCTGGACAGCTATGAAGGTGAGTGAGGGACAGGGACACCCCTTCCCATACCCCCACCCGCCTGAGACCCTTTTCCTCCTCCCTACCAGGTCAACCCTTCCCCCTGGCGCTGCTGGGCTGGGCTCCCTCTAATATTACCTTCGCACACCTCTTTGGCCAACGGTTCGACTACCAGGACCCTGTGTTTATGTCCTTGCTGAATCTCATTGACGAGATCATGGTCCTCTTGGGGTCTCCCAGTCTGCAGGTGAGAGGGCGCAGTGAGAAGTCACTGTCCCAGCCTGGGGTGGCGATCGAGTCAGGAGCTGAGTGCTGTAGAGACTGGGGTGGGAGGGTTTCTGGCTCTGGGCCATGGACGGGCAGGACTTGGGGAGTCCTAACATGTCCCCAACCCCAGTTGTCAGTATCCATCTGACACTGATTGGCTAATGTGATCTCTGATCAGCCCTGTGCATGCTGGAAAAAGGGAGGGGGCTTCTAGTACAGAGGTGCCCATCTCCACATCCCCATTCAGTGATAGGCGCCCCTAGAGGCGTCTCACTCAGTGACAGGTGCCCCTCCCACCTGCTAGAGGTAAGACAGTGGAGACCAGGCACTCCTTCCCTAGGACTGGGGGCTCCATGTTCCCTGGGCCCCTGCACCCTGGTAGCTCTGGTATCTTCCAACTGGCATTAGCCCTTCACAATGTCACAGAACCACAAAAACATGGCCTTCTGGTGTTTAGAACTCCCAGGGGACAGGCCTGTGCACTTCATTCTTTTCCAAAATGTAGTTTTCATACATTATCATTTTTTAAAATAAACATTTTATTTATTTATTGTTTTGTTTTGTTTTTAATTCACTAATTTACATTCATTCACTGAGCATTGTCGCAGCATACAAAATGTGATTTCCCATCCAGAATATGCTGCATAGTAGCTTAATCATACATGCTATCGTCAATAATTTTCCATTTCTTCTGGTGTTTAGAACTCCCAGGGGACAGGCCTGTGCACTTCATTCTTTTCCAAAATGTAGTTTTCATACATTATCATTTTTTAAAATAAACATTTTATTTATTTATTGTTTTGTTTTGTTTTTAATTCACTAATTTACATTCATTCACTGAGCATTGTCGCAGCATACAAAATGTGATTTCCCATCCAGAATATGCTGCATAGTAGCTTAATCATACATGCTATCGTCAATAATTTTCCATTTCTAGTTTCATATATATATATATGTATATGTATAAAAATATATTTTCCCCCTATTTCTCAACCGAAGCTGCAGCTCTGGGTGTGCGGTACATATTTACAGCCAGTCATAGCTCCTATGTCCCTTGTCATCCAACTTCTCAGTGGCACAAGGCAGGGGTGAAAGCCACTGCTATGGAGTAGGGATGAGTGTGGTTTTAGCCTAGGCAGAGTGAGGCAGCCCTCCTTCTTCATGGGCACCAGGCTGACCCTGTGCCTGCCTGTTGCCACACAACTCGAGGGGCCCTGGAGGGTGGAGGTCTCAGGGCTCTCCGTGGCTGCACCAGACAGCACGGTGCAACGAGCTGCATGACGAGGTGCTCTCTGGTCCTTTCTGCCTGTGTCAGCCGCCCATGGTGGAGAACTGGCTCCCCATGATTGTGAATGCCCTGGGGCCCGGTGCAGGGGTGGAGGGAGAGTGAGTAGCACACGGTGTGACCAGACCCAGAGCAGCCATCTCCTGGACAAACAGCCTTGTCAGACTGCCACGACTCCATCAGCGGGGCTAGCTGACTGCCCCTGCAATTTCTTTTCTCATGACTTGCAGCAGATTTGCAGTTAGTCCCTCAATAGTAGTTGTCTCCACTTTTCTATCTGATTGCTCTAGTGAATGGAAAGTGTGTGAGTGTGTGTGTGTGTGTGGCATGTGTGGCGGGGGATGGTGTGGCATGATTTCAGGTAGCCCATTGCAACTAACTTGCACTTGCAAAAAACCACCCTGTAAAGTGTTCCTTCCCGACAGACTGAAGGCTTCATTTCCTCTGAGTTTTTGGTTCTCCTGGAGAGAGAGGGTCCCCAGTGCGCCATGTGGGCACTTTCCAGTGGCCAGAGGGCAACACTGCCCCCAGCACACCTGCTGATAAATGGCATTGTCCCCAAGATGGATCCCTGGAGGAGAGGTCCGCCTGTCAGCACACATCTTGTCTCTTGCCCTCAGCTGTTGAACTTTTTTATTTAAGAGAGATGTTTGCTATAGGGCACTTACACTCGCTGGACAGACAACAGAGAGATAGAAAGCAAGAAATCACCCCCTGGGGGGATGACCATGCCACAATCCCTTCTCTCCATTCTCCTCTCTGGATCTTGGGACTCACACACATGCCCCCAGCTTGTTTCAAGCCACCAGGTCTGGGACTCGAACCACAGTTGACTACGTGGGGGTCCAGCAATGTAACTATTACACCATCTGCCGGTCCCTCAGCTCTTCAACTGCTACCCCTGGCTTGGGGCACTGCTCCGGTTGCACAAGCCTGTCTTGCGCAAGATTGAGGAGGTTCGAGTCATCCTGAGGATGCTCCTGAAGGCAGGGCAGCACCCCACATCTGGGCACCCAGTACAGAGCTACATGGAAGCTCTGATCCAGCAGGGTCAGGTGTGGAGAAATCAAGGTTCACCTCAGAGGCTGGGTCGGGGGGCAGGGCTGGGGAGGGGCCATGCCGGTTGTGCACCAAGCCTCCACCTCCTGATTGGGGGTCTCTTGGATCCCTGCTCTCTTTGCATGCTGGGAGAGTGCGGGAGTTGGTTGGGTCTTTCCTGCCAAGTCTGTCTTCTCCCCCTTTCTTGAGCCAAGGGCTCAGTCCGTGGGGTGGGAGTTGATCCTAGAACCTCTAGCTGAGCCCTACCCCACCCCACCCACCTTTGCAGGAGAATGACTCCGAGGGCCTATTCACTGAGACCAATGCGGTGGCCTGTTTGCTGGACATGGTCATGGCTGGTGTGGAGACCACCTCAGTCACACTGCAGTGGGCCATCCTCCTGATGGGCAAGCACCCGGACGTGCAGGGTGAGTCCTCAGCACGTGGCAAGACAGCTCCTTCAGTGGGCAGGACTCCAGGGCCAGGGACGTGGAGGCCTCCACTGATGTGGTCGCACCTCTTCCGCAGGCCAGGTGCAGGAGGAGCTAGACCGTGTGCTGGGCCCTGGGCGGGCTCCACAGCTAGAGGACCGGCCGGCGCTGCCCTACACCAACGCCGTGCTCCACGAGGTGCAGCGGTACACCTCCATCCTGCCCCACGTGCCCCGCTGTGCCGCCGCCGACACCCAGCTGGGCAGCTACCTGGTCCCCAAGGTGGGCCACAAATCCTCGCTCACCTACTCCTGCCATTTGAGGAGGGCCAGGCAAGGGACTAGGGATCCTGAGATGGCCAAACCTGGGCGCCAGCGTCTCACAGCCTAGGGCTCCCCCACTGGAGGCAGGAAATGGCATTGGGTCAGGAGCAGGAAGGAGGCAGCACTCGGCCTCACAGCCACTCGTGTGTGTGTGTGTGTGTGTGTGTGTGTGTGTGTGTGTGTGGTATAGGAGTTGCATCCTCAAGGAAACCCTGAAAGGGACCCTGTACCCTACCCCCTGGTTCTCAGAGCACGCCCCGCCACCGGGCCCTCTCCC